GGTCCTGGGTCAGTGGCAGAGGCAGAGTCAAGTCCCTGCTCCTTTCCCCTCCGTTGCATTTCTCCCACTGGCCTGAAGCTCTAGCTGTAGGGAGCAGCTGTATATAAAGTGTCAGGCAGAGCTGGGGACAGCTGTCAGAGGGTGATCCCCACTTCCAACCCCTGACCCAGGACAGTGGGGGACACCCAGGGAATGGGCAGTGGGCAGGAGGACCTGAAAGGGAGGGTGGGAATTGCCCACTGATGCAGGTTTCCCTGGCCTTCCCTAGCTCTCTGCACAGCTGCTCCCTCCAGCCGGAGACCCCAGGCCAGAGGGGGAAACACAGTGGAGGGTTGGGGAGCAAGGACCATGCACCATGTGCGGCCACTCCCCACAGCCCCCAGCTGAAGCTGAGGAAGAGGTTTTGAGGTTTCCTCCATCCCGCTGGGCAGATGGAGACAGCAGCAACAGCAGGCTTCTAGATGCTTTTGCTCTCTGACCACCCCCAGGTGCCCCTGTGGTGCAGAAACAGGTGCTGGAAAAGAAGATCCACCCACCACTGCCCCCAGCCATACCCAGTACCCTGCACTTCTGCTTCTGGCAGCCCTCAGCAGAAGCAGGGCAGGAGCAGTCATGGGACTTGACCATACCCAGGTCAGCTGGGGACAGCAGCAGCAGGCGGGTCCCCTGTTTTTGCACCCAGAGGCAACCCCTGATGGAGAGTGTGAGAGGGGGAACAAGGAGGGGAGGGGCAGGGGCAGGTGTGCCAAAAACTGCCATGGTCCAGTCTGCCTGTGGAGGGGAGGGGAGGGGCAGGGGCTGCAACCCCCTTGCAGCACCAATGGAATATTCTGCACTCCCCTTTCGAAATTCCTAGATCCACCCATGTACTTAGCCAATAAGCATGTAAATGGAGTACACTGGATTTTCTCTAGTGAAGGCTGCCATGAAAACTAAAAAGAGCCACTGCATTAAATTGAGAACATTATTGTGATATTTAGAGCTGGTGCAAAATATTCAGAACAATATTGATTTACAGCAAAATTCTACCTATTTTTTCATGCAAGCAATCCCTTGGGCTTATTTACATGAACTAAGTGAGAAGGATTAATTGCCATATTTACTTGAATAAAAGGCAACCCTCATTATAAGATGACACCTCCCCCGCACAATAATTAGATTCTATATATGCAAAATTTATAGATTTGTTATGATTTTCCAGGCATATAATCTATTTATTGAAAGTTTGCTTTGAATTTTTTCTCCTCCCACTGCTACAGCAGGGAAAATAAATCTGGGGGATCAGGTAGCACTTTGAGCTCAATCGGGTAGCACTTCCAGCTCAATCATCACATCTACGTGGCTCTACCACTGGGCAAGTGCCCTCCTTCCCAGACCCATCAGTCTGGGGCTTCAGATACTTCTGAAATACAGGCAAGCATCCAATGTGCAAGCTCCGGGCCTGGAGACTTCAGGGTTCAGATGTCCCGAGTATTGCTTCATCTGAGCCAAAAGGCCAAGAAGTCTTGGAACTGAGTAAATATAGTATTTCTGTGGTAGTAGTAAAACAAGGCCCCATAAGAGATCTGGAGCATTGTATATGCATTAAATGAAGTGGTCTCTTCTCTAAAGACCTGAAAAGCTAAACAGACAAGGGAGAGGGCAAGAGGCAGAATTACAGAGCCCTGCCTAAAATCACAAGCCAGGAATAGAAATGAGTACTCCTCGCTTTTAGTTTAGTACTCTATCCACTGTTTCACAAATTTGGCTCATTGCATGAAAATATATCTATTCCTTGTCAGTCTGCCATCTTTATCCGTGAGTAGCTTCCTATTCCCTGAATAAGCCTGCTTAAATAAATGAAGGAAGACCCAACAGTTTGGCTTTATCAGGCTCTTCTATCAACAACTGTTGCCAGGGGACACAAAAAGTGGATTATACACACTTGCCCATTCCCCACCCCTTCACACCCACCTGCTCTGGGAGGGGAGGAAGCTGTAGTATCGCAATGCCCTCTTATTCCTGGAGGCTCAGATCCAAGTCTGGGTGGTCCATGCTACACATAACTCTCTTGAGTGAGTACAGTCTAAACATAATCTAGCCTTCACTCTCTAAACAGGACTTAGTACTGCCCTTCTATATTCAGATAACACAGTTTCTCACAGAAATTGATCACAGCAGTAGACACAGTTCAGACTTTTAGCAGCCTGATTGCCAAGCAGGGAATAGCTCCACTGTGGTTTACAGAACTATCCTACTGCAATGTGGTGTAAGCAAGAGACGAACCAGGGCCATTAACTTCTAACCCATTCAGTGTGATTTACTGATGCTCTAAATAGTTAGAAGGAGAGGCTTTTCCTGACAGACTTGACTGCTGGTTTTCCTGGCTGGTTGTGTATTATTGTTTCTATTCACTTTAGAAATCATTCCAAATACTGAAAACAGAAGATTTCCCAACTCATTAAGTACACAATAAATACATTTTATGAAAGCATTTCCGCTCTCAGTAATGCTGGTTTTACATTGGTGAAACTCCACTGATTTTGTGCCTTCATCGATTTAAGGGTCAGAAGGGACCATTCTGACCATTTACTCCAATCTCCTTACTCTGTTCCTTCCACTGAGCCCATAAACTTGTGGCTGAACTAAAGTAGATCTTTCAGAAAGACTTTCAACAGAGTTTCTTTGATGAATGATCATGTGAGACTGAAGACTCCTGTAACTAAAAGTCAGTGCAAAAAAAAAGTCATTGTTATTAATTTCTGTGCATGTTCCTTTTGTTCTTAACCAAGGGGAATTTTTTTCTCCAGTTTGTGTGGTTGTTAGGAGTCGCTCTATGCTCTGTACAGATAGCCCATGGAATTTTGCAACTGGTACCACGTTTTTAAAAGACTACAGGACACTGCTGTCTGTTGAGGGCAGAGCTCTTTTGAAAATCTGGCTCCAGCTGTGAGTATGGAGCCCTTACAAAAACCTAACCCTGAACTCTTTTGACACCTGGCCTTGGAATTCAACTTGTAGCATGGGGCACCCCTCACAGGTGACCGTGTGGGACACTAAACTGGATTAAAAATCTGTTTGCAAAACCGACTTGCTTTCCGACTTCTGTGCTGCACCTGAAAACCTTTCCTTTTGAAAGCAAATGCAGGCTTTCCCTAGGGGCTGCCTGGGGAAGTCTTTCCACTATAAACATTACCTACCACTGGTAGAGTCGGTTACAGGCAGGAATTCCTTCTCCCAGCAAAGAGTCCTTTCCAATCAAACCAGACATTATTTTTTTCCATTAATGAGTGTTGACGCCTACTGGAAAACTCTGCATGGAAATGTATTCAGAAACAAGCTTTCAGATACGCTGTTTCTTTCTGGGGGTTTCTTCTTTCTTTCCAGTACCACAAACATCACCTTTGTTACTTGGGAATTCGTTGGCTCCTGCTATTGATTCTTCAGTGGAAGTCACAGGGCCAAATCCAGTTCTCATGTGGCTCTGGAAGCTAATGGGGTCATTCCAGATTTACACCAGCAGCAGCAGGCCCCTCCTCCTCTGGTTGTCTCACCTCGGTGCCACGGGTTTTAGGCTGCCAAGCACTGAGATGGCAAGGGAATGAAGTGGAGGGGCAGCACCCCATGCCCTGCCAGCTTTCCTGTTGCCCTGGAAATGCCAGTGGCATTAAAAACCAGGGAGGTAGAGGGAGCTGATGCCAGCAGGGCAAAGCACTAAACCAGAGCTGCCTTTGTCAGCCAGGTTCATCACTGGCATCAGCTACCCATGGTGTGTGTATGTGTGTATAGGAAGGGGGGGGCAGGGGCTGCACATATGTCTGCATCCTCTGCTCTGCCCTGCTCAGTGTGTGTGTGTCACTGCATCACCTTCCCTACCCTGCCCAGGCATCCCCTGCCGCATGTGTCACTGCATCCCCTGCCCTGTCCTGCCCGGGTGGGTGTGTGTGTGTGTGTGTGTGTGAGAGAGAGAGAGAGAGAGAGAGCCCAGTGTATATGTGTGCTTGTCACTGTATCCCGTGCCCTGTCCTGCCTATAGATTCATACGTTGTAAGGGGCTGGAAGGGACGTTGGAAGATCAGGTCCAGCCCCCTACACCAGGCAGGAAAGACAGGTGGGGTGAAGTGACCCCAGCAAGATGACCGTCTGTTCTCCTCTTGAAGATTTCTGGGGTAGGTGATTGCACCACCTCTGCAGGGAGCTTATGCCAGTGTCTGGACACCCTGACTGTGAAGGAGTTTTTCCTTATGTTGAACCTGAAACAGTCTTCCAGGAGTTTGTGGCCATTGCTCCTGGTTCTCCCCAAGTGCGCCCTGGTGAACAGTTGCTCACTGAGCCCCTGATGTACTCCCCAGACCTAGTAGTAAACTGCTACCAAGTCCCTTCTCAGTGGACTCTTTTTCAGGCTGAAGAGCCGTTGTTTGTCGAGATTGGGGGGGGTAGGGGCGTGGGGGGGGGGGGGTATCCCCTGCCCTGCCCAGTGTATGTGTGTGTGTCACTGCATCCCTTGTGGTGCATATGTGTGTGTGTGTGTGTGTGTGAGAAACTACACCCCACACCACACGTGTCATTGTGTCCCCTGTCCTGCCCAGTGTGTGTGTGTGTGGTGAAATTGCATCCTATACTGCACGTGTATGGGTGTGTGCCACTGCATCCCTTGCCCTGCCTTGCCCAGTGTGTGTGTGTGTGTGGCACTGGCACTGCATCCCCTGCCCTGCCCAGCGGAG